AAAAAAAAAAAAAAAAAAAAAAAAAAAAAAAAAAAAAAAAAAAAAGCACATGACTTACTAGCCAGTTCCAGTACAAAAATCCATCTTTGGCATAGAACTCCTCAGGTGACATAACAATGTCTAGATGTACTGGATTCTGTTTGAATTGTTATTGTTATTCTGACTGCCATGGTCACTTAGTTCAGCTGCTTATCTTACTAGACTAATCAGGTCAAGGACATGGGTTTACTCTAGGTAACTCAGTTGACTTCTCCATTATAAGTCCACAAATTTTTCCTTGACTCTGGACAATGTCCTGCAAATATGAGCTGTTGATCATAAGGTATTTTATATGTGGGGGAAGAGGGAGTGAACTGGTATTAATATCATTGAAATTGAGCTTTTACCCTGACACAACACAGTACCACATTAGCCACGCTGATTTTCCTGTTGCTAAGTGACTGTATCCTTTGGGAAGGGGTTGAGGTTGAGGATGAAATCACTTCATGCTGAATTCTTCTCTCAAGAAAACTATATTAGAGGGGGTTCTGTTGGAGGATCCTACATGCAAATACAAGACCCCACCTCTGACAGGAAATCTTAGTGCAGCCTTCTGCAGCCCTTGCAGCTTCCTGAGACCACATTTCTTCCTTGATGTCTAGACAACGGGATGGAGGTCATTTACAAGACAACTTCCTCCCTTTTCTCATGCACGCCTACATGGTCCTAAAGCAGGAACAGGTGGCGGAAGTGGGATGGTCCCACTGTAGAGTGTTCCTCTGTTACTTCTTCCCCTTTCTTTTACTGAAAGGCCTTGTTCTCTTAGTGTTCCTCAGTGGGCATGACATTAGTGATGCCAGGGCCATGACTGCAGGGAAGGGCTGCAACTGCATGCCATCTGGGGCTTTTACCTTTCTAGTTTGTGTCCAGGGCTATACATTGCTGCACCACCACTCCCAACTGCTTAAGTAGCTGCTGGTTGATATCAAAATTGATTAGATCTTCTTGGGTAAGATCTCCGTGAATTCCAGGTAATTTTTTTTTTGTTTGGGGATGAGCGTAATCATTTTGCCCTTTTGCAGACCTGACCTTTGGCTATCCCAACCAACCCATGTTCGTGAAGGCATCAGTGAGTGAGGACACTGTAGCCATCCATCTATGAAGAAAGAGTTGCTTTTATTCTTTGCTAGACTCCATGCAAACCGGGGTAGGGAACAGTAGGAATGTTTCCTCATTTCTTTTTACTAATTTCTTAGAGCCTGGTCCTTCAGAAAAGAAAAGAATGGGTTAAGGAAACGACTGGGGTGGCACTAGGGTAGGATGGGATGGAGGAAGGATAGGGAATAGCTAAAATAGAGGCTCTAATGCCGGCTCCAATACCAGCCCTTTTCTTCTTTCTCTACTCCTGACCCCTAACAGTTCCTCTGATGACGCTGTGCCTGAGGAGCTCCGGCAGGAGGGGCATACCCAGACTTCCCTCTAAATCCCGTAAATCTACCTCCTTTTTCTGTTTTCTTGGCTCTTAAGCTTTCTCGGGCCCCCAAACCCGTCTTGGGGTCTTCAGGACCTAGCACAGACTTTGCACATAACAGGCATTAGTGTATATTTTTAATGGACATTCTAGCCTAGCGTTTGTGAAGCCCTTCCCAGACACGACCTCAGTCCCGCCTCCTTGGATGTCCACAGGGTTAGGCAGGGCGGAAGCAACTACTCCCACTCTACAGACGAGGAAAAGCCGGTGGCAGCGCAGCACTCAGCTAGCAGCAGTACATCACCACAGGCCTCCCCTCCAAGTGCCGAGTGCCTTTACATCGCTGCAGCTCCGACAGCCTCTCGCGCGGAGCCTGCCGGGAGTTGTAGTCCAGTACCCCCGTTAGCCCGCACTACACTACAATGACCAGCGTGCCCCGCGCTCGGCGCCCCCTCTCTTTCAGCTTCGGGTGTGGGGGAGGCTTGGCTGACCTGCTGACTGGGAACAGATATGGCGGCGACTCTGGGCAGCGGGGAGCGCTGGACGGAAGGTACCGGTCCTGGCCGAAGGGTGGGACAGGGCGGCGTTCGGAAGAGATCAGGGATGGGACTCCCGGAGGAGCATAAAGCCTGAAATCCTGGGCCAGATGTGAATGATGGAGGCGAGTGAGAAGATGCTGAGCCTGAGTAGGGCTCCGGATGGGATGCGGGACCGCCCAGGGCAGGGGCCGGGATCCGGAAACCGGGAACGCTGGCTCTAGCTGGGGACCCGGCCGCGAGCCCAGAGTCACCGGTGACGATTTGTTGCCTCTGGCCCTCAGCCCTGCCCCGCCCTGCCAGTGCCCCGCCCAGGTCCCGTGGCAGACCGGCCCCGCCTGCTCCGTGACCGAAAGGCTAGCCAGGTGGCGGTCTCCCGCAGCTTGCTTACCCGACCCTTATCCTCCGCCAAACTGGGCCGCCGGACCCTCTGTCCCGGTTTGATCTTGACCCTCCAGCTCGCATCAGGACCGATAGGCCGGCCTTTCCATCCTATAGTCAAGCAAAATTATTGATCTATTGTGTGCCCGCATTATGCTAATCCTGCTGCAGAGATTTGACAGACATGGGCTTCTGAACTCGCAGACCTACGAGTCCACTGAAAGAGATTGATGGGTAAACAGTCAATTACAAAACAGAGCCAATAAATGCTGGGCTACACAGCAAGGTGGGGAGTTTGGGGGGCACACTGACAAAGCACTCAACACACCCTGGTGTTCAGGGAGGTTTGGGGACACTGACAAGTCACCCAACACAGCCTGGTGTCAAGGGCGGCTTAATGGAGAAAGTGTTTCATAGGATGACATGAAGGATGTGTTGGAGTAAGCCAGGCAGACTTAAAGGAAGTGTCAAGGATCAGTGGGTCACTGAGAGATGTTAAGAGGGAGAAAGATGTTTTTAAACTCTTTCCCGGATCCTCCAGACAAGACATAAGTGCTCTGCCCTCTTTGACTGTATTGCTTATGACCCTCTTTACATTGTGCACGTGTTATGACTTATTGAATCCTCTCCCATTAAACTGTAATCTCTTTGTGGTCAGGAGTAGGTCTTATCTCTCTGATCAATGTAGCCAAGTGTCTTGGTACCTGTTAGATTTATAACTGGAAGTTTAAAAGAATTGAATTACTTTCTACTTTAAATCTTAGGGTGGGAGGCATTGCAATAAAAAATATTATTTTATGAGCAATGTCTCTTCTGATCATGGACTATGGAGAAGCAAGATTCCCCTTGTGCTGCACTAAAGGCAGGGTATTGGGCAGATGCCTCTTGAGCCTTTTTTCTGGCTCTGAGTCAAGAGTATTTGCTGACTGACCACTATAGGTATGGACATTATTGTACCCCATGTTTCTGGCATTTATAAGTTTTTCTTGGTTGCTTCTGATATTTTCTATGCTGTTTTCTCAGGGAAAATGTTTATTCAGCTTTGTATGGATGCTTAAAAGTCAGCATAACATTTTTAGCTTGGCCCTCACAGTCACCTGCTTATGCCTACAGGCAGCCTCCCAGAGAGTTAAAGCAGGTAGAGAAATTGATTTGCAGGGTCACATGGAGGCCTAATGGAAAGACTATTGCTTTGCAGCTTACATTGATGCAGCTAGAAGAAACAAATACCC